ATTTTTTTTTTGGACAATTGTTATAAGACCGAATTAAACCGTTGCTGAGGAGGGAGATGGGGGAAGGAAGAAAGTGAACTTTACAAGGGTGATGGATGTTGATCAACCCGTAGGCCAAATTCAATAAATGTTTATTAAAATAACTCAATTTTAGAATAATATTCTTCTTAATTTTTAAGAGAAAAAGTAGATAAGCACTATTTTTTTTATTTTTTTAAATATATAGATATATGTCTTATGATAAATTATATGATAAAAAATAATATTCCTTTTATCAAACTCCTCTTCACACATTTTTAAATTTAAACTTAAACATGGAGATTCAACCTTTTTAATTGCTGAGATATTCATAAAGTTCTGGTTGCTTTGTTGGAGTTGAAGGATTCATTATCAAAGAACAGAGATGGATTTGAGGCAGTTGCCTCAATCTTTTCCAAAGCAATGCTGGATCTGAGGCAACCTTGTTGTCTTCAAGAAAGCAGACACTGGAGAAGGAGGTCTTCCCATTTTTCAGGCACAAACCAACCCTATGTTCCATGTGGATACATTGATCAAATCAATCCATTACAGTGTGACTCCCATTGGATAGCACCAAATCTTGCCAATGCATTACTATTAGGATACACCATTATGATTAATGAGAATGGCACATTGATCCAATGGTAATAACTTAGTAATGCCAATCCATTATTATTAGGACTTCCCATTTTTCAGGCGCAAATTGCAATTTGTAGTGCACAAATGTTAATTTGGACAACATTCTTCATGAACTCATACTTTTGAACAATAGTGTTAACTTGAGAAATAATATATGAAGAGTGCTAGCCACAATTTTTTTACGCTTTTCATCAATTTTTATAATGTGATTAATTCACATGACATATATTTCCCTATTATAGATTTATTTGGTGTATTAGGTTTTTTAAATTAAGAAATCATTAATCGGTAGTCTAATCACTTCATGAGTGTTAAAAAAGTGTGCAAAAATCAATTATCACTAACATTTCTCATAAAGGTATTTTTAACCCACCCTTAAGTTTAAGGTTAAAAAATATAATTAATACATTTTTTATAATTAATGTATATAAAAAAGTAAGTATTGATTTTAAATTAATTAATCAATTAATTAAAATTATTTATATGTCAATGATACTAATATAAA